TGTGGGACTGACAACTTTTGCGTAATGTAATGTTTTGCTCGTCCAGAGAATACACTCAGTGATTTTTGGGCTGATCCGAGCACTAGTGCCCTATTACTTACCGACAGGTGGCGCTAAAGAGCTCATATTGGGCGAATGATTTTAGTGTCATTGCATTCAGGCCATTCCCTTATATTACTTATGTGAGTCTCAGCTCTGTCGGTCTGAGCCTGTAGCCCTCAGGGCTCAGTGAAAATGGCCAAAACGAAGGCCTTATTCGCCATGACGAGGGACTAAAACTTGTTTTCGATGATTATATAACTTCCATACTGCCATTTTGGGAAATGCCATGGTAGAACTCTGTGTGATGAAAAACCAGGGACTAGTTTGGAGTAAAAAATGAAATGTCAAATTGGCGGCGAAACTTCAGCCCATCATGTCTGACTTCCTGTTGGTCCCAGACTGAGGCCCAGAGAGTTTTAGGCTCGTCTGATAGAGCGCTATCACTTATCTGAATGTTGTGGACCTACTCCAAAATATGCATGCCATAGGCCTTGCAAATTTGAAATTTCCAGTGGCCGAACCGGTCGTTTTAGACCCCCCATGTGCAGACTTTCGTGCATGTCTTCAGGGAAAAAATCGAATTGATCTCGCGGAAAAATAATATATGAAACCGGGGAATAACAATAAGCCTCCCCAATACTACGTATTGGCTCGGCCTAATTAAAAATGTGGGTATCGGTTGCCGGCATCGGGTCCTATGGTATGAGTACGAGTACAAGCCTATGGTATCATATCGGTGGATCCCTTTTTCCTACCTTTTAAAACGAAAGTGTGAACTAAATCTGTAAAGAAGGAGAGGAGATTCTCCCTGATGTGTTATTTTTAGTAAATGTTAAATCTGGATTGATTTTCTGAAGTATTGTTTAATAAAGCATTTTAAATATATGTATATAAAAAATAAAAAAAAACTTTCTGAATCTCAATTTGAATCTATAATTGGAAAAAAGCTATAGCTCCCCAAAAAGGACAAAAATACATGCATGTGAAAACTATTGATAGAACCAAACAGATTTGGGAGCGTTGAACGTTTGATTTAATTACATATTCATCACATTTAATGTGGCTGACCCTAACCCAAGAAAGTTAGGTACTCCAGTTTTAATGAGCATGAGTACAGAAATGCAAAAGCTAAATGTGATTTAAAAGCAATAAAGATCCCTGCTGATTTGTCTATTGCGCGACAGTTCACATACGACGTTCTGGGAGGGGGTAATGTCGAAGGTGAGAAAAAGCTGGCCTAAATGACTTCAGTTTAATATGGTTCAGAAAAAACACGGTCTTACTGCAAGCAGGATTGCCTTTCCACAGATCTGACTTGGAACTTGGCCCAATGACTTATCTCAATGGCTATACATTTCAGAGCGATAAAATCACAGAAAGCCATAGAAAAAATTACTCGGTGAACTATTAATAAAGCCAAAATAGACATAATTTGTTTGTGTTGGAGCTGTAAAAGTGTTTTTTTTTTTAAATATATTTTTCATGATTTTTTATGATTTTTATTTTTTTTCAGTAACATGAGTTTTTCCCAGATTTTTTTGTAAAAGCTGCAAAGACAATAGTAAAAAGTGCAAAATAAATCAACTGCTGTGAGTTTTCAAGGCTTTATATTATTAAAAAAATGCCTCAAAGTTGTTCCAAAATGAGGCATCTTCGCCAGTGTCAAAATTCTAAAAATAATAGCTGTGTTTCTATCAAGCTATACAGTAGTTTTTACCCTTACATAAGTCTTAAAAGTGCAGCTTTTTTGATTCAATCAGGTTTAAAAGATACATTATGGGCTTTTCTCTGCTTTAGAATTATAAGAGGTGGGCAAAGTAAAGCACTACTACTTGGTAAAGCACCCTACTTGGCTCTAATCTACTCCAGTCAACCCTAATTGGAATGTTTCCACCGGCCCTGTTTAACTGGGACCAAATCATTTTTTTAGTCCCTCTTGGCCCTGGTTCTGTCAAGGCCAAGCTGGTACTAAATTGTTCTTACTGACAGTAATTGGCCAGAGTGCAGCTGGAAGCCATGGTTGGCAAAGGATTTTCATGGATACTTGTTTGTTGTGGGTAGACTGCAAAGATACAGTTCCAGATGCTAAAGCGTATCGTAAAGTAGAGTAGGGCTGGTGGAAACAGGGCTATAATAATTGAGTGAATCTATAAAAAATAGATTCAATCTCTAGCTGGGTGTGAAACCTTTCTATAACAATCTTGATGTTGGCCAATTCTATTGTAATACTTGGAAGAAACACAGTGTATATCTTGGCTGGCTGCTTTCATCAATAGAATAGCAAGAAGTCCAAAATCCAAAATGAACATACTCCAAAGCTTTAAGACAATTTAAGTAAAATAAAATAAACACAAAAAACACATTGTCTTTATAAGTAGAAAACATGGTCCAAAAAGTGTTGTTGCGCATTGTCAGTAAGTTTTCCTGTTGAACAGAGATGCAACAAACTTTAGTCCATAAAGAATGTTGGTGCAAATCCCAAAATGGCTGATCTTGAAGCACTCACGGTTCATTATGTGTGAGCAGACTGTCAACTGTCTGTCAATAGTCCAAACTACCAGCCTTTTGTCCATTGATGCTTTTCCAGATGTGGTATGAGGCTGAAACAGATGACACACTGCAGAAAATTGGTCGAAAATGTTTAAATGACTTTAAAATAGATAATTGGTGAGATAATAACTTTGATATTCAGGATTTTACCTATTTTCTGGTTTCATGCTTTATAGTGACCAATCCTTTTAAACCGAGAAGGGTCAAGCTGCATACGTTGAGCCATTTGCATTAATTCACAGCTAATTTTCTTAAAATAGGATAGGAAAGTTGGTGCTCCAGACATCCAGTACTTTTCTGATATGAGCCCCGCTATTAAAAAGTCTTTAGACTTATTACATATAAGTCTGAAAGGTCTTCTACATGCCTCCTCGTAGCCTTTATTAGACAATTCAAGTCATTTCCACTATGTTCAATAATTCTATACACTGCAAAAAGCAAAAACAAAAGCAGAGATTTAGTAGGCTATATTATCCATCCATCCATTTTCTACCCCTTAGTCCATTTCAGGAGCCTTGATCTTCCAGCGGGGGCATCAGCAATAGCCTATATTAGACAATCCACATACTTTCTTGTTGGAAGGGATTGCCATTTGACAGAACTAATATGTATATCATTTTTTTCCCCTATGAATATGTTTTTGAACTTAAAATGACGGAAGCGTTTCTATGTTCCTAATACATTTTATTGTATCTTTTAGATTATTTGGTAATGTTGATTTCAAACATTACCATATGATTGGTAAGAGATTTTCTTTATATATATATATATATATATATATATATAATATATAATATAAAATAATGATCATGTATTCCACTAAATAACTGAGAGAATAAATTGTTCATGCAACTTGTCTTTCTGTTATAATGAAAGGGGAAATTAGAATAGATTAATCTAATTGAAACTAGTTTTAAAACTATATTTATAGTCTTCATTCAGACAATGTATTTCCGTTGAAGCAACTCCACTCACACTGACTCCACACGTCTGCAGCTTTGAGCTCTCATTTTTTTTTTTTATCTGCAAAGTCTTCCCCTTATGTTTGACCAAAGTGATTGTATTCCAGGGTGAGATATTAGGGTGACCACATCATTCAAAAGTAAAAATTGGAAGCGAGAATACAATAGTCTCAAACAGCTCGTGTTCAATTTAAAAAAAATGGGGAAAAGTAAATTCACTCACGGCTTTTTGCAGAAAGAAAAACACTTAAAATCAGTTCTGTCTGAGTTCATATTGACCATATTTTGTGAAAATGCAGGGACATTCTCTGGACAGTTGATTTTGTGAAAAGGGCTGAAAAGATCATGTAATAATGCATCAAACCAGATGGAGTTAAAGTCTCTGATAAACAGTGTGTTGCTAATGTGGCTAGCTCAGGTAAGCTCAGTGTTTTTCACTGTGCTCTGGGCTCTTGAAAGCTGTGAAGAGCGCTCATATGGGTTCTTGGTCTGTTCTTACAAAAAGCTGCTCAGAAAGCTTCAAATTAATCACTTTTAGTTAAGCACTTTTAAAAGTTGACTAAGATTTTTTACCCTCTAAATGTTTTCTTCAAATAGAATGCAACCATTTCAGTTGGAGGGCAGTTTCCAACAGGACGCTATGGAAAATAAGCCATTTTCAAAGGCATTTTGAAACAGAAAATTATTTAACAGTGATTAGATTCACAAAGCCATATTATTCTTTTTCTTGGCCAAAATCAGAGACCAGAGAGAGCCCAGAGAAAGCGATCAGAGGAAGAGACCAGAGAAAGAGACCCGAGAGAGACCAGATGGTCCACAGAAAGATAAGAGAGAGAGACCAGAGAGAGAGACCAGAGAGAGACCAGAAAGAGAAAGAGACCGAAGTGGATATGTGCTGAAAAAGAAGATCCAGAAGATTTGTTCCAGAAATTAGAACTGTACTGTATTAGCACTGTACTTACCCACGTATTTAAAGCCAATATGATAGCGTGCACATTTTTATCAATTATCATTTTGCAGTACAAATCCCAAAGAAGAACAATCCCAAAGATGAAATATCCGGCAAAAAAGTTGAATATTTTGTACTGGTTACAATACTTGGATACAATATGATGCATGCAGAAAAAATGTATATGATTGTTGGATTTGGCAAAGTCCAGAGATCCCAGTTGTAGGCTGTTGGGTTTCTGACAGAAATTAGACCAAAAATGCAATGACTGTCACCCCCTGCAGTACACTGTATGCTCTGGAGAGCAGCTTGAGAGACAGACTTATACATCCTCGATGCGTGAAGTATGAGTGACAATGTACTCCCAGAGATCCTGAATGCAGTTGTTGGACGTTGGGTTTTTGACAGAAACTAGACCAAAAGGGGTGAAAAATTAAATTTCTTGGTGTCTTCTCCTTTGTGTGGATTTGGGGCTGGAGGCTGCTGGGTCACTCTTCTCAAATGTGACGCTTCATGTGTAGAGCCAAGTGGTCCGATCGAGAGAAACACCTAAAACAGATAAAGAAAAAAAGTATAAAAACATATACATTTACATTCAACTATGTCTCTACAGTAGGTCCCATTTTGTTTTGTTGTCTTCACTCACGTTGTGAGTGACTCGTTGTGTTCTTGGGCAAGACACTTAACCCCACTTTGCCTGAAGCCCCCACTGAAAGATCTCAGCTCCTGTGGACTCACCACCTGCAGGAGGATCAGTGAGGGGCTGGTGCTCTGTGTACTGGGTGGCATCTCTGGCCACCCCCCCCGACCCAGAAATGGATTAAGGGGAAGAAAATGGATGGATGGATGGGTCTTCACTCACGCTTTTCATGAATCACGCAGCTGCGTGAAACATATTACATCCTATCGCCACTAGGTGGCAGGTTAAGTCCGCTTTAGCTCTGCCAGCGACTTAAACGCTCAGGTATAAGACTGCGTGCAAACTTGTTTTGCCTAGTGATACCATGTTGGCCGAATGGTTAGCGTTGCAGGTTAGGACTCGGTGGATCCGGGTTCGATTCTTGTCTGAGGCAGTTTTGGTTGCACACCTTTTGATTGCTTGTGTGCAATTACGTAACGTTATCAGCTTGTTATCTTCTTTCCTTGACAAAAGGAAATGTCATGTTGTAAAATTGGCATTTTTATTCCTGCAGTTTGGTTGGTGCTGATTGTGGAGTTGAATTCCAATTGTATTTAAAGTTTACATGTTTATCAAGCTCCACGTGCACCGGTACGTGCACGTGCTCCACGTACACTCACCTGAGAGAGAGAGAGAGAGAGAAGAGAGAGACAGAGAGAGGTGTGCGAAGGACAAACCTGCTGTTTACACAAAACTAAGAACTCTACAGACTAAGACTCATCCATGAATATAATCAGCGCATCTCTAGCTTTAAGTCATTTTTTATTTGAGAACAATCCGACTCATATGTTCGGTTTTATGGTTAGATGGAGTGACGCTGGGTTTGTGGAGTGAAAAGTAAACAATGCATCACACGCGTGGGGCGGCGGCTTTTGTTGGCCTTTTCCTCATGTGTATGAGCTCATTACAAAAGCAGTACAAGAGAAGTCTTGCTAAAGTTTGGACTTAAGTGATGTCTGCAGTCTGAATCCCTCTGAATTCCAGCAGTTCAGTGAGGTCTCCTACCACCTGTATGCTGACGATCTCCAGCTGTACTGCTCTTTTAAGCCCTCTGAGCCCCAGAGACTGGTTGCTCTCACTAACTGTCTGGACAAAATAAAGATATGGCTTAGTGAAAATAGCCTCCAGCTGAACTCCAGTAAAACAGAAACCTTAGTGTTAGCCCCGGACAGTATTGTTTCTGTGATTGCTCAGCACCTTGGTGACCTAAGTAGCTCAGTAAAAAAGAGTGTGAGGAACCTGGGAGTCACTTTTGATGGAGGGATGTCCCTAGAACGACACACCAAACAGCTGACCCGAATAACACAAAGAATACATTACAGAAAAACATCTGGAGTTAATCAGTCTAATCTGGAAAATCTAATTCTTGTTCCGTGTAAGAATCAGCCGACCGCAACCGCTGATACTGAAACTTTTTTTGATAATTTTACCGAGTTGCTTTCAGTTGTATGCACAGATTTTGATAGTTTGGTTATTACAGGTGATTTTAATATTCATGTGGATAATGTTGATGACAAAAATGCAAATGAGCTGAGTTCTGTACTTGAATCCTTTGATCTCACTCAGCACGTAAGTGGCCCCACCCACAGCAGAGGGCACACTCTAGATCTGTTAGTTACTAAGGGGGTGAATATTTCAAATGGAAACGTGGTCGATGTTGCTCTTTCGGATCATTTCTGTGTTTCACTAACAAACCACCAGTGGACTCTGCAACTGTTCGAAGAAGGCGCATAAATGAAAATACGAGTGAACTATTTATGGGAATGATAAACTTTGAGAATGCATCGTATTCTACTGTAGATGAACTGTTTAACTCTGTCACCTCTAGTGTTTTGAATGTTCTGTATACCGTTGCCCCTGTGAAGGTTAAAATAGTGAAAAATAAGCAGAAGGCGCCGTGGGCTAAAGCAGACTCGGTCAGGGCACAAAAGAGAAAGTGCCGGAGGGCCAAGCGGAAGTGGCGCAAGTCCAACCTCCAGGTTGATTACGAGATCTTCAAAGATAAGTTGTGCGAGTTTAACCGGGTGCTACGTAGTACGAGAGAAAGGTATTTTTCTGAAATGATTGAAGGCTGCAGCAACAATCTGCGTGTTCTGTTCTCAACAGTTAATAAATTAACAAACCCCCCTGTTCAAATGCCATTAGAGCTTACTTCCAAACGTAAATGCAATGAGTTTGCTAATTTTTTCAATGACAAGGTTCAAGGCATCAAAAACGCCATTGTCTCAAATCCACAGATAACCATCCAACAGCCAGAAAGGCTTTCTGAGCTAACTCACTTTGCACCTGTAAATGATAAAACTGTCCAAGAGATAATCTCCAGTTTGAGCTCCTCCACATGCAGCTTGGATGTACTACCCACTAGATTTCTGAAGTCTGTTCTGAGCAGTCTGTTACCTTCACTCACACAGATAGTACACATGTCCCTTCATTCTGGAATATTCCCAAAGGCCCTGAAAACTGCAGTCATCAGGCCCCTGCTAAAAAAGAGCAGTCTCGATGCTACGGTACTTAACAACTATCGTCCCATCTCAAATCTGCCATTTATGGGGAAAGTCCTTGAGAAAGTTGTCTACCTACAGCTTACTAGATTTCTTATAATCAACAACTCATTTGATATGTTTCAGTCCGGCTTTAGACCCCACCACAGCACTGAGACTGCTCTTGTTAAGGTTACAAACGATATCCGGCTGAACACTGACGCAGGCAAAGTCTCAATCTTAATCTTGTTAGATCTGAGTGCTGCCTTTGACACTGTCGACCATGAGATCCTCTTACAGAGATTAGAGGACTGGGTTGGAGTCGCTGGCACCGCCCTAAGTTGGTTTAGGTCTTACCTTGAGGACAGGAAGTACTTTGTGGAGATTGGAAACTGTGTCTCAGATCATATGGCCCTGACCTGTGGAGTACCACAGGGGTCGATCCTGGGACCTCTTCTGTTCAATCTCTACATGCTGCCGTTAGGTCAGTTAATACGCAGAAACAAAGTTTCCTATCATAACTATGCAGACGACACTCAGATCTATGTCTCACTGACTGCAGGAGAACATGGACCAGTGGACTCACTCCTTCACTGTATCCAACAGATCAGTGAGTGGATGCAAAACAACTTCCTTCAGCTAAACGCAGACAAAACTGAAATGATTGTCTTTGGTCCCCAGAAACAAAGAGAGAGCGTCATCTGTCACCTACAGTCTCTCGCCCTAAAACCTTCAAACAAGGTCAAAAATCTAGGGGTAATACTGGACTCAGACTTAAATTTTAATAGCCACATCAAATCAGTAACATCAGCAGCTTTTTACCATCTAAAAAACATTGCCAGGATCAAAAACATAGTGTCTAAAGCAGACCTGGAGATTCTTATCCATGCATTTGTCTCCAGTAGGTTAGACTACTGCAATGGCCTGCTCACAGGTCTCTCCAAACAGGCTGTAAAACAGCTGCAGTACATTCAAAATGCAGCAGCTCGAGTCCTGACTAGAACCAGGAAGTACGACCACATTAGTCCAGTTCTCAGGTCTCTGCACTGGCTTCCTGTGGCTCAGAGAATAGACTTTAAAACAGCTCTGCTTGTGTACATGTCTCTCCATGGCCTCGCACCAAAATATATTAGTGATATGTTAGTCCCATATGAACCAGCCCGGACTCTGAGGAGCACAGGGACTGGACTCCTGTTAGTGCCCAGAGTCAGAACTAAACATGGGGAGGCTGCTTTTCAGATTCATGCTGCTAAAATCTGGAACAGTCTTCCTGAAGATGTGAGACAGGCCTCCTCTCTGACAATGTTTAAAACCAGGTTAAAGACAGTTCTGTTTAACTGTGCATACAACTGAGGGATTTTATATTTGTATCTTTCTTTTTAATGTTCTGTGATTATTTATGATTTTAATGCTTTCTTGTTTTGTTCAGCACTTTGAATTGCCTTGTGTATGAATTGTGCTATATAAATAAACTTGCCTTGCCGTGCCTTACTTACATAACCTTTTTGAGAAAGAAAGTTTTTCCCCCATCATAAATTTGTATTAGCAATATCGTGAGAATGTGTTTTATGTTTAAAAGTGTTGCTACTGAATGCTATTTCAAAGTAAGTGGTGTAACTGGTATAACTTTCAAATTGTTAGAATACTCATTTTGAGTAATTGTATTCGGTAGAGTTACTGTACACTTCAAAAACTCCGCCGAGATCGGGAGCGGCATGAGGCTGCGTCAGCCCTCGCTACAACAGCAGCGTCTAAGAGCGCCTTTTGAGTAGCAATTTCTATCTGAAATCTATCTGTCCTAAAGACAGAAGAGCCTGTGCGCATCAGGTGACTTTGATTTTCAACAGGAGTTTTCCTCTCATTCTGATCAGAGGAGCGAGGGGAGAAGCGTCTGTGGCTGCCCCCTCCTCTTTTTATAGAATGAATAGTGGCAACCCGTGCGTTAATGCCCCCAGCCATGTGTGACACCCAGCGCGTTTTACAAGTTTACTACAGTCTAGCAACTTGCTGCTCCTCGCTTGCTGCTTTTTTATCTCCTTTAATCATTTTTGCTTACATTTTTATTCCACAAAACACGGATTACTCCTTTTTACAAACTTCAACACAAGACTTGTGGAATTTACCTAACTTACAGCATGTCGGGAGGACGGGAAAGAACAAAACTTTGCGACGGCTGTTTTTCACTCAAACAGGAGCTAAAACTTCTTCAAGACCGAATGTTTGTGCTTGAATCAGAATTGGGGCTGAACACAACAATACCAGTGAAAGGAAATGGACCAAATGGACAAAACGTAAGTTATGATGACGCTATTTCATTTCCCAAAATCAACAGAGACAATTGTTGGAACACATATGGTGCCAAGCCCAAACAAGGCAAAGCTAATGATAAC